CAAACCTAGTCCGCCCAATAGCGATCCAACAGTAAGACCCCCGATTATCGGCGTCCAAGAAGAGTAAGCCTTGCTTTTGACACTATTCCATTATTCAAACGAAAAAAAAAAGACTATTCCTTATGATATCTACCTAACTTGATTATTTTCCTCTTCCCAGGCATTGGTGATCACGGCTGAAGAATGTCCACGCTGAGCAACAGACACATTCGTTGACCAATCACTCAATTGAGGATAGTTCATAGTCAAAAAACAATGAGTGCAAATGTATGATTCTAATAGAAATTCAAATGTATGCACACCAATTGACAACGATATTAATTATATAGCTATTCAATGGCAAAAGTACTTCAATGAATTTCATTGAATCAATATCGATGTTGATTTTTTTTAATGGGACGTGTAGCATGGTCAATTTTTAATTAAAATTTTACTTTGAATAAAGAGAAAAAAAAATAATATAGCAGAAAAAAACAATTTGATTGGTGAAATACATTACTAATACTGTGTCACCTTTCGTCACAAATAATTCTGGTTGAGAGAAAGTCACATGAATAGAGTGAAAGTCTGTGTGATTCAAATGTATTGCCTTTCAGAGGTCCAAACAGGCCGTTAGGCCTGCCTGCCTGCCTGTGCCTGCCTGCCTGGGACAGGCACAGGCCGTAATTTTCAAGCCTGGCACAGGCCAGGCAGGCCAGGCCAAGACCCTACTCAGGCCAGGCAGGCTCATTAAAATACACAGGCTGCCTGTCTATCATGATTTTGCTAATTTTCAGTAAAAATTTTATCTTTGGTAAGAAAATGTAGTTATTGATAAATACATTTAAGAGTGTGTGTCGCTAGAACACGAAGAATAACTTATTTCATATTGATTGGATAGATTTATGACCAGTTAATATTAGTGATCTCATGACATTATTCACTATTCATCATATATTTGTTGATTTTATTTCTTTGTTTCGCTGAATTAGTTTTGAATATTTTTAATTGCTGTTTTGGTTATTTTTAGATAAATATTTTCTTAATCCTTGTATTTCATCGATTAAAATTTATGTTAAATCGATTATTCTTACATTTCATCAATTGTTCTTATTCTTCATCGATTAATATTTATATTACTGAACAATGTCTGATATTGATATATCGTCTTCAAATGATTCAGTTTCATGTACGTCAAGGTCAAATTTAACTCAACAGTATTCAGCATCATCAATTGAAAATCTTTTAAAACAAAAGGACGACTCGAAACAATTTATGGTTATCAAAAATGATCAAAAAAAACTTTCATCACTTGCTTGGTCAATATTTGGTTTTCCTGCTAAACGTGCCGAAGATGGTTCTTATCAACGAATAATCGGTTTTGCAAGCTGTTTCAATTGTAAAGATACTTATGCATTTCAATCTGGTGGTAGTGGAAGCACCAAGCATTTGTTAAGACATGTATGTTCAAAACAATCATCATCGTTATCATCCGAAAATAATCAAGAAGGTCCAATGGATAAATTTATCAAATCGAAAAAGTCAGCACCACTCAAATTAATTGCACAAGATCGTACAACAATTCGAGATGAATTCACAAAATGGATATGTTCATCAATTCGTCCATTCAACATTGTTTCTGATCCAGGATTAAAAACAACTTTAAAAACAATTATTGATATTTGTAAGTTATTTAGTGTGTTTAGATTCAAATCATTGTTTCGATGTTTCTAGGTCAAAAATATCACGGATCACTTGATATTGAAGATCTACTTGTAATACCAACGACAATTTCTAATACTGTTAATCAATTAGCTGATCATTATAGGTCTTTGATACGCCCTATATTAATCGAACAAGCTGAAGCTGGTGTTTTAACAGTCTGTCCAGATCTATGGACCGACAATTTAAAAAAAATTAATTATTTAGGTTTAACAGTTTATTTTGTGACATCAAATTACGAATTAACTTCATTCGATTTATGCTGTTCCCGATACGACGAGGTAGACAAAACAGGAGAATCTGTATTACAGGTAAGTAAACTGATGAAAAGCAAGAAAAATATTTTCAAGAGTTTTTTCTAGGCTATACGAAAACAATTGGATATTTTTGGTTTATTACCATATATGGATAGTTATCGTATATCGTTTACCAGTGATAGAGGCGCAAACATATTGAAGGCTTTGAAAGGTGAGTTGTTTACAATACTTCTATTGTGTAGTATTAAAATTTGTATTATTTAGGACACCCGGTGATTCATTGCTTTGCACATCGTATAAATAATATATTGAAGTTAGCTTTTTATCAAAATCAACAAAAAAAAGCAAAAAAGATTAAAAAGGCATCAACAACCCCAGCGAAGAAGCAACAAAAAAAATTCCTATATGTTTGTGATAGTTCATCGGATAGCTCTTCGTCTGATGATGATTCAACAACTCCATCTCCATCTAAATATGCTGAAGCAAATACACTATTATCAGATTTACCACCAAAATTAAAAGAAATTTTAAGTACAATCTCAACATGTAAAAAACTTGTCAGACATATAAAAGTAGTGAGTACAACAACTAACACAACGAAATGATTTATTTTTTTATAAAAAAAATCTTTCATTTAGAAAGGTTTAAATAAAGATATAGAAGAACTTGGTGGTATTGCATTAAAACAAGAATGTATAGTTAGATGGTTATCCATGTCGAACATGTTAGAATCGATCGATGCTTCAATTGAACATGTACGATCGATATTATCATCAAAATCATTAAAGAATGAGTGTTCATTTAAATTAAATAATATTAATACTGATGCATTAAAAGATTTAATTCGTTTAATAAGTGAATTTAAAAAAGTATCCGTATTAGTTCAAACAGGAACTCGACCTTCTTTACACATGGCTTATATTTGTGTTAGCAAACTTGAACGTCATCTAAATGGAACTGATGTTGATAAAGAAGGTGAAATAATTTGCATTGATGATCGTCATGAAGGTAGTATCGAACGATGAATAAAACATATTATTTGTAATTATTTTCATTTTAGGTACCAACTTCTTTCGAAAACGGCTCATTCAATTATTAAGATGTAAATTCACATTCGATGAAAAACACATCGCAGCAGCTGTTCTTCATCCTCTTTACAGAAAATTAACCTTCGCCACCACATACTCCAAAAATATTTCTCATTTATATATTCGTGAACAATTAAATGATATATTCGGATTAAATCAACAGCATTTTACAACAAATTCTGAACCTGTAAAGAAAAAACATAAATCAATGGAAGATCAATTTGCCGATCCTGATGATGATGACAGTTGTGATGTTAAGTCAACACCAACAACAACAATTAAAAATGATGAACTTGAAAAATATTTACGAATGAATATCGAAGATGTTTATAAACAACCAAATCCACTACCATTTTGGCGTGATCATCAAAATAAATTCCCTGGTTTAGCTTTACTTGCTCGTCGTCTGTTCTCTATTCCGGTCACGTCAGCCGGAGTAGAGCGACAATTCTCTTCCGCTGGTTTAACAATTAGCCAACGTCGTTCTTCGCTTGACCCAGATACTGTCAACGACGTTCTTTTCGTCAGATCTGTACAAACTCTTCTTCAATCAAAACCAGACTATTTTTCTAAATAATAGTATTTTTTGTATACTTATTCTCTACTTAAACATAGTATGGTACATTAATAAATGTTATATCTAGTCATTTCATTTCTATTCACATGACTTTCTTATCAATTTCTGATGCCTCTTTCACAATTTTGTTTAATTATCATATATTAGTAGTATATAAAAGTATAGACAGGCTTCGACAGGCAGGCCAGGCAGGCCAAGCAAAATCACAGGCAGGCAGGCCAGGCCCGGAAAAATGAACGACAGGCACAGGCAGGCTGTAGAAGTCGATAGCCTGTCATGGGCAGGCCAGGCCTACATGAAGTTGGCCTGTTTGGACCTCTGACTTGTACTACTCCATGTTTGTACGATATGTGTCCAATTATTAGTCGGAATTTGAGGACCAACAACAGATACAACACATGAACCACTCCATGATTGTGCAACAATTGATCCATTTGATGAAAAACCAAGTTTAGGTAAACACCAACTACCTGAACCTGATCGGTCGGAAGATAAATGAAGAATTGTACCTGCAACAGATATTGGATAAATCCATAATGCAAATGAAAATGCTCGATTATTATGACCAAACCAGTAATAACCACAAGTTTGAAAAAAAGCATTTGTTCTTGATAATATTAATGCTTGACCAACACGACCAGTAACAAATGATACACCACTATTACTTTGTAATGTTATATAACTTGAAAGAGTATTTGGTCCAGAATCAGTTGTAACATTGTCAAATGAAAAATAAGAAACAAGTGTTACATCATTTAATATTTCACATGCTGTTTTTGCTCGATTACTTATTGTTACCTATAATATTCATTAAATTATTTAATTACAAGCAATTTTTTATAGAAATTTTTAGTGAAAATAACAATATTTTATTAAAGAACTTCAAAGATTAATTATATATATATATATATAAGATTTGTCATCAATTTACAAGAAGTTTTCATGCAAAAACTACGTATCGATTGAGAATAAACAAAATAAAAGACTAAGAGAATATTATTAAGTTATGTCATATTACGATGTATCAATATGAATTCGAAAACTATAAGAATTATCTAAAAATTCATCGAAAATAATCAAAATCGATTAGAAAGTGTGAATAGTCAATTTCGCGAAACCGATAAATAAACTGAATAAATAAATATACAATGAACAATCTATTATTACTGGTAATTTTGTCCAGTCAAAATAGTAAACCAAAGAATCATTTCTCATCTTCCAGCAATAAAGATATTTCAATGTTTTTGCTCAAAAAACAAAGTTTTTTATTTCAAACTTAGAAAACCTATGATATATAGGCGGTCTATTGAGTTTTGTCTCAAACAGGCGATCATATTCGATAACATGTGCGAATCTCTGAAATCTAACTCATCCGTGAAGATATTGATGCGACTCTTTTATTGAAAAGATAAGTCATAGATAACATTTTCCTTGAATTAATTTTATGTCAAAAAGTAAATATTTCTGCTATTAATATAATTCAAATAATAATTATGATCCTCAAAAAGAAATATTATTTCTGAAAAAATTATAAATTCTGAATATTTGTTAGAAATACAATCACTTACTTGATCAATATAACCAGATAAAGGATTGACAGATCCACCAGAAGCTATCTCTCCAATATACATCGATCCAGTTGTTCCTTGATATGAACTACCTGTAGTTGTACTTCCATCTAATACTCCATTTAAATAAATCATTTTAGTATTAGTACTTATATCATATACACAAGCTACATGTGTCCAAATATTTGTAGAAAGAGTTGTTGAACCACCAACATCATCATTGAAAAATTCAAAAAACATTTTGTTTGACCTAATAATACAAAAAAGCCATTGTCAAGTAGTAGCTGCTTGGTATTGACCAAATATTCCATAATCAACTGATGAAATTAAACTAGTTACATAAATCCATGCTTCAATTGTAAATGAACGACTAAAAAAACTTAAATATGAACTAACAGTTACATATTGAACACTATTAACTATCAATGCTTGATCAACATAACCAGATATATATGATGGAACACTACTCATAGAACCATTATAACTATTTGCAGAATCTAATAGATTATTTTCAAATTTCCATGATGCCAAAAGTGTTGATGGTGTTGTTGTTGTTACATTTGTACAACTAGCACTACAAGATGTCCAATAATTACTTGGAATAAACATTGTCGCATCAGTTGTACCTATTCAATCAGATTTTTCATTTGAATATCTACAAATATAAGAAAAATCTAACTTACTTGCAGTTGTTGTAGCTGAACAATTATAAAAAAAAAGAATAAATATAAAATTTTTAATTTAAAAATAAAGATTTTTTAATTACTTATTGTTGTACTAGCTAGGGATGTATCAGTGTCAGTATATTGAACACTGAGAACACTGACTCCACTGAAACTTGATTCAAGATAGACAAAGCGATACTTCAAGGTACTCGATAGTTACGAGAAGGAAACATTTCCCAGAACAGGACAAAAGTTTTTGAACTGATCTTATCGATCCCTAATCCTAGCTGCATCTCTTTGCAAGTTGAGTTGAGCTGTCACATACGTAATGTTCAATTAAATGTTAGGATAGAAGAACGATACTTACTAGTTGTTCGTGTTAAAATGGGAACGAGAATAACCGGTATAATAATTGCTGCTGTAACAAATGCAATTACAAAAAAACACCAACACCAATTAATATTTTAGTCCAATTTGAGATCGGGACTTTTCTTTTACTACAATAAAAAGGTTTTATTCAAAATAAAAGCATGAAAGTACATACAATGCTTGTTTAGAAGACCTTTCATATTTGAATGCTTGTTTTGGTGCAAACTGATGCCTTCTAGTCGGGTCTATCTTAGGATTGATAGTTGATACAAACATATCCTATTTTACATTAAATATTATTTAGATTAAGAGAAATGTAAAAAGAAAAATTCTACAGCTAGTTGAAGGGACGATATAATATCGGGATGGATAAGACACCATTATATTCATACTTGAGGACAATTATATGAATGCTTTATTATTATTTCTTTAATGTATTTATAAGAGTTAATGTTTGTCAAGCAGCTCCTACATATGGAGATAAGTAATGAAAATATTGATGCTTTTATGATTAAAAGATGCATATATGAATGTGTCAAAAGCAATTGTTTTTCTTTAAGAAAAACAAGTTTGAAGCCAACAATTTCACCATCTCACTGTTTTCTTACAAAAAAAGAATGTTTCTTTTAATATGTTAAAGTATACGTTTGTACTCTTTAAAACATATAACTTTTCGTTATCGGTTTGACTGACATGATCAGCTAGGAAAACAAAAAAATTTATTAAAATAAGTGGTTGAGAAAACATGTTACGTCTTGTGCGAGAAACAAACTGATTTTTTTAAAACAACAATGAAAAAATGGACGTACGTCCGTCATTATATATCTACTAGTGTGAAATTCTTTCTTTATGAATGTAAACGATATAAAGATGGACCATTTCCAGTCCATATTCAATCATATTATCTGATGAAGAAATACGGTTTGATTGGATTGCTGGTTCGGTTTCGAGTTCGATTCGAGCCAAAAAATTTCCAGCAAGGTGAGTTTATGCACTTTTCATCCTTAATATCCGCTTATTTCGACTGCCCTTCAATCAGTCGCTTGTTTCGAAGAAATGAAAGTACTTGTTCGAACATACTAGACAATTTTCTTAAACTCTTCAGTTTTACAGACCCGAACCAATCGAACTTTTCTGGTTCGAGTTCGGTTCATTTCGGTTTTGGTCTCTGGTTACGACCACTGAGCTCCATCGTCAGAGTTTTCATAAGAGAGGCGTATGTACAACGTTCACGCATTGCAGGTCAGAATGACCATCATGATGAGAATTTTTTAAATGTTTTATTTCTATCATATAAAAGTTTTTGGACGATTCTTATTTTTTCACTGATTAATATTTGTATTCTAGTGCGATATCTAGTCTTTATGTGTCTTCTTCAATGAATTCGTCTAACCTATTAAAATCATTCTTAATCAAAAGCTAAAACTAAACAGAAATCCTATTTATCTATTTCATTAAAATATGATTACATCTTAAAGAAAATACATCTGATTGCTCTATAAAATCGTTTATAAAAATTTTCTTGTAAGGATAACTTTGAAAAGTCAGTAAACTAATATTATTATCTGTGTTGCAATAACAACTCAGGTCAAAATTTATCTTTCCCTTTCTTTGCAGGAATTATAAAAAAACATTATGTAAATTATAATTTGTAATTGAAATAAGATTTTTTTTTCTCCTTTTCTGTCTCATTTCTAGGGCAGCCATATCGGAATTTTAATTTATAACTGAATTTTCTTTTTTTCTTTTAGGCAAATGTCTGCTTGATTTTGTTTTCATTTATTTTTCGAGCGATGTTATAGAGTTGAAGCGTCATGTATGTTCGAACTCGGATTAGGCAACTCATGAAATCTACAAGCTCATCAGGCTTGGTTGACTTCAATCAAATCTTATCCTACTCTCTAATAATCAGTTAGTCAGACAAAATCATTAAAAATCATGTTGTTTTTTAAACTTTTGTTTGTCTGAGCAGTAGTTTTACTTCTGATTGTGATTGATAATGATGACGACCATCATTTTTTTTGTCATCAACAATATTCATATTATTTTTTAGCGACTGGGCTAAATTTTGATCGATCATTGGTTTTGTTGTTTTGTTTAGATGTTGACGAATGGTAGGAATAGTTGATATCTGTTGATAAAGAAAAACCAAATATATACAAAGTCAAGATTTAAAAAATCTAGCTGAGAAGAGGCTTTGAATCAGTAAACTTACTGGAGTTGTAAATAATTTTGGTGGACTTTCTTGAGGAACTCTAGTTATGCGTGGTACGGTTGGTAAAGTTCGAC